CCTCCCTCCCTCTCTCCCTCTCTCTCTCTCCCTCTCTCTCACTCTGCCTCACTATCTCTATGCCGCTCCTCCCTCCCCTTCCCTCCGCGCTTCGCCAACATTGCCTCGCACACTTTTCATTCAAGAGGGTTTCGTCCATTTATTCATGATGGGAGCCTCTACCTGATTTAAGCCCTTTTCCTCGCGGGCCGGTCGAAATTCATGCGGCGGACGAGTCTATTCCCTCCCCATCCCCTCGACACCGCTCTGCGATAATTTGTTGTTTCTCTGTAAAAATAAAAATAAAAACACACACACACAAAAAAAGGACTCACATTTAGAAAGCATATATAATATAAATTGGAGCGCTACAAGTCATGCAGTGAATTCATATCGTATGGGAAAAGCAATTACTCTCCCTGAAATCATTTGCGCAGCGCGCGCCGGAATCTGATCGGCGCGCTTTGGCTCAGCTGAAAGGCGCCGTAACTGGAGAGGATGAGGAGAGTTGCGCATTACTACTACGAACGCGCTTTCATGGTATAAGGGTCGGGTGACACACGTGTGGTTTAGGCTATTCGGGTAAGGTGGAGCAGGAGCACCCCACCGGGTAAGGAAGGTGACCCATTTACGTGCCACCTAATACGTGCTCTGCGATTCGCATCACGCATCGGCCTGGCGCGCACGGGGCGCCCATCAACAACAACAACAACAACAACAACAGCGAACATCGAGTGAACGGTATGGGTTCCGGTTCCGGTGTTGTTCGTCCTCGACCACCGATGCGCGGGCTGCTGCTGCCTACGTGGAACAGGGCAAGGAGGACTCGCCAAACACCCTCTCGCTCATCTCTCTCTGTCTCTCTCTCTCTCCCTCTCTTTTTCTCTCTCTCTCTTTCTTTCTCTCTCTCGTCCTCTCTCGCTCTCCCGGCAACAACGCGTAGGTTCCGGACTAAAGGGGCAGAGCGGAGCGGTAGCGGAAGTAGCGGCAGCGGGAGCAGCAGCAGCAGCAGTGGGAGGGGAGCGCGGGCCGCCGGTCGGGCTCGGCCGCCGCTCCGCGCTGTGCTTCGCCCCTCAGCCCCTCAGTACCCGGACGGCTCCCGCTCGGGCTGCACTGCGCCGCGCCGTCGCCGCCGCCCTCCCGACCGTCCTCCTGACCGTCTCGCGCGCTCGCTTTTGTGCCCCTGTGCTGTTGGATTCTGTGTGCGTCCGCGCCCGCCCGGGCCGTGCCGCGGTGTTTCACGTGTGAGTGTGTGTGTGTGTGTGTGTTTGTACGTGCGCGCCTTGCCCCTCTTTGATATATATTTTTTCCGGGGGCGCCCTCAATCTGCATGTGTCCATCATCCATCCCTCGCCGGTCTCCCCTCCCCCATTTCTCCCTCCCCTACCGACCCCGCAGCGACCACAAGAAGCAGCCCGCCCCATTACCTGCTCGAGGCCTCCATCCCGGGCCCTGTGATCTCCTCCCCGAGCCACACCGAGCGCCACGTCAACACGCGCCGCCCCCCAGCTGCGCGCTGTGGTACTCTCCCCCGTCCCCACTCGTCTCCTTCGACTCCCTCATCCTCCTCTCCCCGTCCACGTATGGAAAGGAAGGTCTGTGCGCTCCCTTTGCAACCCCCCCAGCTCCTCCGCCCCTCCCTGCTGCCCCTCCCCCTGCCCGGGGTTGGCACAACTCGATAACCAGCCGTTAGCAGAAGGGCCGGCCCCCGGCTGCGTGTGCTCTGTGTTCCCACACATTTCTTCCTTTGTCGTATCGGGAAAGGAAATTCCGCCAACGAGCATATTTTTGTGGGCCGATAGATTTATGTGAGCTAGAGGGTGTCCCCCCCCCCCCCCCCCTCCTCCCTTTTCCCCGGTGCCGCAGTCCAGACGCCCTGGCTGCGCGGGATCCGCAGCCAGCGCGGTCGCGGCTCGCAAAACTTCCCGATATCGCTCGCGCCGTGCTCCTTGGCTGGTCTAGTTTCCCTGCGCTGCTCGGACGGCGTCGCACTTGGAACAAAGCGATCCGGTTAGTAAGTTTCGGCGGCAGCAGCAGGAGCCGGGCCGGGCGAGGAAAGGGGAGGGTCCCCGTCACGGCAGGTATCTTTACTGCTGCTCGTGGTATAACTGATGTGCCATGGTGACAGGTGCACGGGTTTCTCTCCCTCTCCCTCCCTCTCCTCTCTGTCTATCTCTCTATCTCTCTCTCTCTTTCTCTCTTTCTCTCTTTCTCTCTCCCTCGCTGCGAGTTATTTCCTGTGCCGTGCAAGATTTTCCTCGCTGGATGCAAAGATGCCGACATCGCGGGGTTCCCGCTGCGCGACGTCCCAAATGTAAACCACTTTTGGCGAAGTTTGTTTGTCATAGTCATTACGCGTAATACGTTCATTACAACTTTAGTGGGCCACAAGAGTACTCCACGAGTCAAGTTTACGGCATGGAAACTGGACGCCTCTGAAAAGAAAAAAAAACAGAAACAGAAATACGCAGAAAAGTACATGTTCAAATTTCCCCCGCATTCCGGGGTTGGCTGCGTTTTTTTTCTCGCGCGTCGGCCGGATGATTGCGCCGCTCAGCGTTTTACAAATTGGCCCGCTTAATGACCATTGCGGTGGTGCGGTGTGGTGGTGTGGGGCTCCGCCTGGCGGGGGCCGGCCCCCCGCGGGGCCTGGGGAGGCCTGGAGGCCCTGGAAGCCCCTGGAGAAAGGCTCAGGGGGGCCCCGGCCCCGCCCCGGCCGGTGGGTGGCTGGAATGCTCAAGGGCCGCCGACCGGGCAGCAGTTAGCCATCATCTGCTATCGTCCCGAACGTCTAGACATTTTACCTGGGAAGAAGGGGAAAAATAAGTGACGTGGAATTTTGTAATTTCAAAATGTACTCGATCTCGGTCCGTTCGTGTCCGTATGAACGCACTCGAAACCATCGAGCAGAGTGAGCACTCTCTCTTCTCTAGTTCTTCGGAAGGGGGTGATTTCCCCTAGGGGTGAAAAATACTGTTGGAATTTGGAGTCGCACTGCACCGCATGCGCGAACGCACGCGTCTCGAAGGGCTCCCTACTCGGGGGCCGTAAGGCTAGAAACGGAGCTGGGCGCAAGTTAAGGGGGAAAATGCAAGGCTCTTGGGTTTTGGGGTCAATATGCAAAATGTGGTGCTTTGATCAAGAATTCGTTTTCGTGGGTATGTCGTATATCTCGCACATGATCTCGTGGCTTTCCGCTGCAGACAGACTCTCTGACAGCATTACGACCTAATACGGCGCCCGCGCTGCGAGTCCGGCCGCCGGAGCGTCACCCACGGCTTCCTCTGGCCAGGCCACTCCAGGCCCCCGTCCATCTCTGTCTTCTCTCCCGCTCCTCCATCTTCTGGAGCCGAAGTCGCTGACGCGGCACCCTTGTCATCGGGCGGAAAGAGATAATGGTGTCTCGGAGGGAGGAGGAAACGATAGGGAAACGTTGCTACAGTGAAACTCTCAACTATTTCACGCTGTGAAAACTGTCTTACATTTACGACAGCTCATGCTTGCTCTACGATGAATTCCATTTTGATACGTAATGCTTGTGCTTGTAATTTTACAATTTTGATTTTTGATTTTAAGACCCACTTCATGGGTAATTTCCGTAGAATCTACAGCTGTTTTTCACAGTGCATCAATATCATTTCATTATTTTAAGCCGGTGAGGCCTGCGAATTCTCATTCACAAACTGGAGCGAAGTGAAGTGGATCTAGCGGGGGTGAGGCGGGCTGCTCCTCGAAGCAGTGGCGCGCGCGTTCTTTCTACTCGGGTCGAAAAGAATCGGGCGTCGTTCGTTTTCGTCGGGTCTCATCCCCGAACGCGATCTGTATCCCGCTCGGCAGCCACGAGAGTGCGAGCGCGTGCAGGGCGTGCACGCT